CTGGTATCACCGTTGCGTGCAACTCCATGCCCAGATAAGTCTCAATCTCACCAAGGTCGGTCATGGTAAACTTTTGCTGAAGGAGAGTCCCTCTGCGGGGATCCCTGTGTGCACCTGTCGCTCCCTAGGTGTTTCTCGTTGTGTCTTTTTATGGCTTGACTTGTATTTTTGTTTTAATTTTGCTTTAATTTTTGCTGTATTTGTGTGGTAATTTTGCTGAATTTTTGTAAAGTCCTTTGTATGATGCCTTTGTCTTCTGTGGTCGGTTGTTTTCTCAATCCGACGTTGTGTCTCGTTGGATGTGAGCGTGCCGTGGTGTTCATTGTGTTTGTGCTGTGATGGCTTGTAGTTGTGATGTGTGACTGCCTTTTTATGTGTCTTGTGTTTAAAATGGCCGTATCTCTGGTTATACTTGGTCGTTTTGTACGATTTTTGTTTCTATGTGCGTGATTCTTCGCGCTTGTACTTCTTGGCATGATAAAAGCCAGTGAATGTAACTTGTTCTCTTGTGTTGTTTTGCGTGACGTAGTGATTTTGATGTCGGGGTTGCACAGCTTTGCTTTCAGCTCTGAGGTTCAAACACCTAATTTATACCATTGGTCTGATCGAGGATGAGGCTGCTACTGGCAAACATCAGGAGGTCATCGACATAGACGGCGATCCAAATGGCATCGCGGCCATTGTTGAGAAAATAAACACATCGGTCCTTGAGGCAGCGAGTAAACTTATTAAAGGTGTATGTCCAGTACAGTGTAATGTGTGTGGACAAGGCGATTGTCACAGAGGTATCCAACCAATCGAAGTGCATACGAGAATATGGATTGAAGCAAGGCGAAGGAACAAGACAGAACAAGACAAAAGGAGGGAAGTGGAACGACCGAGGTCAAGAAGGAAAATGGTACCGATCCAGGGAGATCGCTCCCATTTATAGCAGGTGGAAACACACACACACAGTGGAGACAGAGAATGGACTATCACACTGAAGACAGGTGGAAGCGATATCAGCAATCTGTTGGGACCAACAGATGCCACAACAAGATGATACACCAAGATGGTACAGCAAGATGTTACACAACAAGGTGGGACAACATCAAGTACCAGAGGACACACAACGTGGTAAAGTATACCGTCTCAGATTGTGCCTCTAATACTCCCCTTCAAGCTGAGAACGGAAGAGCATGTCACACAAACGACGATGGCTCGGTCCATTGAGCAGCTTGGTGAGAAGGTCAGCAACCATGTCCTTGGTCCCGCAGAACCGGACATCGAGCTGGTTGCGTTCATACCTCTCTTGCACAAAGCGATACTTGACAGCAATGTGCTTGGAGCCCGGAGAGTTGGCTCCGTTTGTAATCATGTGGATCGCCGCCTGGTTGTCACTGAACAACACGGGCTTGAAGACGGCGTGTGAGAGTTCACGAACCAAATGATCAACAAACATAGTCTCGCTGGCCGCAGAGTAAGCAGCCATAAACTCGGCTTCAGCAGTAG